CAGTATCCTTCTGTTCACAGGAGCCAGGGAAAACTAATGGGAGTAGAGTCAGGGAAGAACTAGAAACACAGTATTCAGATACCAGAGATGCCAGTTGAGGTGGTGAGAACAGCTAGTACCTTGATGACCATTTCTTTGTGCTCCGCCGGCTTGGTGCCCATCATGCTGTGGGTGAGGCCAGTCTGGAGTGTCTCGGCAAAACTGGCAGAATTCCTACCAATGACTTCTGCAAATAAAGTGATCATTGGGCATCAACTAGGTGCCCCCAGACCAGAACCTCTCCCCTAATCCTAGCTAAACCACCAGCATTACTTAATGTCTTAAGCACAGAGATTTTTTTTTTTTCTGTCACAGAAATTCTTGTTTTTAAATGTGAGAGTAGAATTCCATCTCAGTGAAGGTGTTGCTTCTAGTTTTGGTTACCAATTGTGAAAATCGTTCTTTAATTTACTTTTCTACTTGTTTCAGGGAGACGGCTGGGTTTACCATAAACCCCTTTGGAGAATAATTCCAACAGCACAACCAGCAGAGTGATACACACTAAGACTCGACCAATGAACTTCTTGCTCTGTTTACCCTAAACCCTCCCAGAACGGAGTCATTGCACTGAGTGACCGGCTTCCTGATTGCACAGACTGAATCTAGCTAAACACGAATGTACCTATTAAGGCACCGTAGAACTGCAGCAAGACCAAAGTGTTGAAGAAGCACGATGGGCCTCTCACCAACCTGTTCCTGTGACATGAGCAATATCATCTGAAAACCTTTCACGGGAATTATTAGATGATTAATCTTTTATCCAGTCCCTGCTCCTAAAGTTAAGTTTGAATCCCCTGTTTTTGCATGGGGGCAGCAGATACACACAACAGTGAGAACTCAGTGATTTTGATTTCTTTACAGTGAAAAGTGAAGTCTGTTTCAGAGTCCATGCTTTGCTTTCTGTCAGTAACTGAAGTAATCACTACTCTTACAAACAAACTAAGAGGAGGAGGACGATGACCCAGAAGTGGATTCAGCCATTGTGCCTGAAATCAGTGTTAAAAAAAAATCAAGCAGGTTGTAGTAACAAGGCATTCTGTTCCTTCAACGAGACTGTGTGCCTGTGTCTGAGGAGCTTCTCCATTATCCACCTCTGTTGGAACTCTCTTTTAAAAAGTATATTTATAAATTGATTAGAATTATAACCATGGAGAATTTTTTCTTCTGAGCATTTTAATATACTTGAAAACAACATTGACTTGAAAAATTTCAGAACATTTTTCAATACATAGTTTTATTAAATACTACACTCGAGAGACCATTTTTTTAAATGTGTTCATGTCAATATGATGAGATTTGGGCCTTTCTCAAGAACTGAGGCATTAAACATAGCAGACATGAAAGAATAAAACTGTTACTTTTTTCCTTACCTTTTTTTCACTTGTAGGTTAATATCCAGTATTATGTGCTATCCCTCTGGATAAGTATGCTTCATCTTACCTCTGTTCACTCAAATTTAAAACAGCTATTCATATTTGTCAGTAATTCAGAAGTTATGTATGTGGCTGAGTGCATGTATGGTATGGTTCTCTTTTCAAGGAAATTCAGATGCTGAAGAAAGAATAAGAAATAAAAAGTTATCAGGAAGTTGTATTCAGGTACAAATCTTTTTTTTTTTTAAATAAGTATTTTACTGCGGTTGAAGAATTGCTGGCAATTAAAAGGATAGTGCTAATTATGGCTTTCATCATTCATTCAAGTATTTATTGAGCACCTGCTTATGGTGCTCAACACTTGTTACTGCAAGCTACCTTAATTTTCCAAGAGTGGTGCCTTACTCTGTTTCTTCTGATGTGGTCTTCCAATCAGTGTGTGTAACATACCTGTTATTCATCAGCCATGTAGGTGGCTGTATCTCTTGCATCATCATAAGAAGTTTAAGCTTTGTGCTCTGATAAATTGTGTTTTATTGAAGGGGTTAATAGGATGAAAACAGCAAAACAATTTTTTCAAGAAACTGTAAATTATAAGAAAATAACTGGTTTATGTACAACCATTTTAATGATTCCCTTGTTCATTTTTGCTGTGAAATGCACTGAAAAAATCTCAAAATGAGTTATAGTTCATGTGTTGGGAAGATTGACAAATAATAAAACTAGAGAACAATAATGCCTTTGTCTGTTCTATGAATGGAGACAAATAGAAAGTTTATATTTAGTAGAGTTAGCACCTTGTTCATTTGAGAGGGATGTTGATTTTTCTCTTTACATTCTTACTTTCATGAATCTCCTAGAGAGAAAAGGAAGTAAATTCAGTAAGAGTTTTTAAAAATTAAAATGTTTAAATATACTGGAAATAGAGCAAGAATGTAAAATTAAACTAGTGATTTTTGTTTTGTTCTTTGAACCATTTGAATACCCATTTATTTCTTTGATTTGTTGAGCCATTTTAAAAATTATTGAAATGCAATTTTAAAAATTCTTCAGGAAAACAATACACTTACGAGTAATTGAAAACTTCTCATGATATTGGGTTGCTTCTTTGACGAGAGTGAAATAATACTACTTTTGGGTGATTACTTTACCTTGTCTCTGTCTTCTTGACTTCCGACTGCAGCTTATCTACTAGAGAGAGCTAGAGGCCTTTTCTGTTTCATTTTTTTTATTCATACCTTGTTGATAATTGGCCAGAGAAATGAGTCTTGGTAGCAGTTGCTACTTATTTGTATCTTTTTCTTTTAGGTCAAAGTTTTAAAGGTGCACTTTTCCTCTGGCTACTAGGAATTACGTGTTAAGAAGTCCAAGACCAGAAGCGACAAAAAGACAAGGTTCTGGCCATGTATTTGGACTTCTTAACTGTTTTTTGTTGTTTTCATTTTTGTTTTTGTTTTTACTGTGGTGATACCACCACCCTATACCTTCTGTCAGATATTTGTATTTAAGCTCCACAATCATATTCTAATTAATTGCATTTTGAATAGACAGTTTTTAAGCCCCAAAAAGTAATTTTTAGATTATCTACTGGGTGAGATATGGCATCTATGTATCAATTCACTGTACTCTTCAGTTGTGACCAACATCACCTCTAATGCCTACTTGCAACCAAAAATAAGATGAAAAAAGTATTGAATTTCTCACTCCATAATCCTAGTACTAATACATTACTCTCAACTATAAATATCTGATACTTGATGAGCCAGCTTCTACAGATTAAGTCTTAAAGGATTTATTAATTAATTAGAAAAGCATGAAATTTTGTTTAAAATATTGCCTTAAGATAAAGGCCAACTTCTATTCAGTGTTTTTCCCCAGAGAAAGACAAATTGTTTTGACCACTCCAGCATCTATACTTGAGAAGGATTCCTTAGAGCTACTACAGTGACTGGAAGCTGAGTGATGATTCACCAGAGATAGTGGGAGAAGAAAGAGAAGAGGACTCTACCAGATGGAGATATAAAAGTTATATACATGAAAATGAAAATTCTAATAAAATATATATTCTAGTGACATAAAATCCCTCCTTGGTCCAAAAACCAAACTGCACAAGAAATTCTTACATATTACAAAGCATTTTCCTATGTTTTCACTATTTGATAGTCACAGAAACACTGAGATTACAGTCAGGGATGGCTGTACCAACTTTGCAGATGAGGAAATTATTGAAAGTTTAGTGTTCGGGACGCCTGGGTGGCTCAGTCAGTTAAGCGTCTGCCTTC